ACCCCGGAGCAGGCACGCGCCTGCCAGCTGCCAGCGCCGATGCTGCAGTGATGCATGGGCGGCTGGAGCCGGACGTACAGCAGTGCAGGGGCCACGCACCAAGAGCACAACCACGCCACGTCACGTGCTTTGTGAAGCGCATGGGTGACCCTGCCAACGCTCAAAGCCAAGGAGCACAGGAGCAGGGCTGCGAGCAGGTATGGACGCTGCCTTCCACCCGTTCCCATCCCCTGCGCCTGGGCAACAGCGCTCCTTCCCCAAGGGAAGCACCACAGCAGCGCCCGCCCCGTTGGGCTGAGCATCGCACAACAGAATGCACCACCTGCCTGGGACAACCACCGCCCCACCGTACGCCTGGCAGGTTAGCACGCTGAATAATTTAACTGCTTTAAAATCACAGACTCTTACTGCTGAAGCCGTGCCCTAACACAGCAGCAGCTTGATTAAGATGGGGAAGAGAGGTTCTTCACCCCTGTACTAATCTCACTTATTAATTTCAGATTATTTGGTTTCATTATGCTTCTAATCATTTTCTAATCTCTCTTTTGTAAGAACAGAATTTTCTGAAACAAATGTTCTTGTTCACACTTTCTGTAAGAATGAGGAATTGTTTTTCCCTCCTGTTAGTCTTTCAGGGGAAAAAAATCTGCCTTCACGCCCACACAGACATTCTCAGAGAGGGCAACAAATTTACAGCCAGCAGAACTTGGGGATAAAATCGTACCCCGCTGTTGGGAGAAATCTAACGCTTTCCATCAGCTGAAGTTTTGCAGCCCCTTCACCCTCTCCCAACCAGCCTGGCAACTGAAGCGGCACCACAGCCCCCTGCGCTCCTTCCATGCGCTCGTTAGTAACGCTAACGACCAGCGGTCACCGGGTGCTGCTCTACAGGAAGCGCAATCTTTGCGGCGTGAACAACCAGCAGTCCAGCTACTTCTGTTCCAGCTGCGCAAGTTTTTCAAAGGACAAAAGCCACAGACTCCACAACTAACAAATGTTACGTGAAGAGGCACTATTGCAGCTTCTCACACATTTTAACATTCAGCGCTTCCAGCCTTTTTGGGAAGTGTCAGGCACCGCAACAAAGTGGTTCTGCCATCTGCCTTGAGTACTTCACTGTGCACTTCGTCTCCTTGGGTCAAGAGCTGAATTTCAATACTAATAAATAGCTACACAGTGAAAAGGCTGTATTTAATCAAAAAGTGGGTTTACTGTACTTTATAAAAAAGAACAAATGTGAGTTCCTGTAGCATTTGTGCACAACTATCGCATACCTTAGGTGCACAAAGGAACAGACTAAGACAATTATTAAAAATTATTTACTGCCACATTTTGCCAGCATCTGGCCATCCCTTTAGTTCCCCTGCACACACGTTCAAAGGCGAAAGCAATTACCACCCGTTGCAAACGAGCCTTGAAACCTCCCGCCACCTCACTGTGCCTTCCAGACCATCACCTCCGACGCCAGCAGCACAACGCAGCCCTCGGCCAGCTTCCCGGCTGCACTCGGAGGTGCAAAGGCATTCCAAAGGAAAGCAAACACCATCAAAATATGTTCGCTCTGCTAACGTTGCACCAGCCTCCACCTCTATTTAATAAACGCTGTTCAGGTTCAGCACAGAAGTTGTTTTAAGGGCAGGAAAAATTAAAACAAAGCCATAAACATTCCTATGCCCCTCTTACCCTGAATAGAATCTGAATACTTCTCTTTATTTTAATGCTACAATTTCTTAAGTACTTTTCCTGTGACCTTGATTTACTAAGTACACATATTTATGTATCTACACATGTACCAACAGACTAATTCAATAAATTAAAGCTCAAAAAGCTAACTGTAAGCACAAGAATATTTACAAACTGCAATAAATTAAAGATTAAAATGTGTACGATACTAAATAAGGATCTCACAAGACCTCACCAAGCAGGAACAATCGTCCACTTCTGTGCCGCTGCCCAAGGCTGGAACAAACTGGCGATAAACACCAGGCCGGCCGCCGCTCAGCCAGCACGACCCGAGGATTTCAGCCTTCGGGACCGAAGTCCCGTCCCCGCCAGGGCCGCAGCACCACGTCCGCACACAGCCCAGGCCCCAGGCATCTCCTGCAGGAACTGGAACAGACACCAGTGCTCATCACTCCCTCATCTGTACGGCATGCGCTGCCGGGGGGGAACCAAACAGATCACCAGAAGTTATTAAGAATAGCATTAAGCCAGAAAATGTCATTCAAAACAAAGATCCACTCCGGCAGAGCAGTCTGGCCATAGACACAGAGATCAGATCGCCCCTTTCCTCGGGGCTGTAGGTAGCGGAGGGGATTTCCAGGGCTCTTCTCCCCAACAGAGGACAGGCGAGGGAAGGACGGTTTCAGGTCATAAAAGGGAGAATTCACTGTGCTGTACGCTCTCGCTCTGTCTTTTGCCAAAGCAGAAAGCATTCCTGGGAGCTGAAATTGTTTCTGCAGAGAAGTGCCCCAGCTGAGTGACTGGGAACAGCGAGGATCATCGCTCTGACCCCGCCCGCCTTTTTGAGAGCTGAATTATTTTTTTTTAAATAGGGAGATCATGGAGGTGAGCAGAGAGAATGCCAAGAGTGGGACGGCACGGTTTGTCCCAGCAGGAACAAGGCAAGAGCAGCTGCTCTCCTGGGACGGAGACATTACACTGTGGTGTAATGTACAAACAAAACACGACTGCTGCTGGCAACTCAGTCTTTACCCACGAAGGCACTTCTCTGCAGGCAGGTAACAGCCAAGGGTTTCCCGAGTCTCTCCCGCACAGCTCTGTCCCCTTTTCCTAGGTTCTTCCTTGTATCCCAGGTGCCTGCAGACTCTTTGTGCCAGAACGAGGACGCATTTCAGCTCTGACAGAAGGTAATCACAGCAGTGAAACTCCCGGTGCCAGCAGCGCTGTCCTGGTGGTGCGAAGCCAGCTGTGTCACCTTGGCCTGCAGGGCGGTAACACGGCCCGACTCCTGCATTTAGGCTACGTCTCCGTTCTCGGCACTCCTGACGCCGAAACTCCTTCCTTGCCATTCCTTATTGAGCAGATGATCCGCAACTACCGGTAAAATTAGAAGTTGCTAAAAACATACCATTCCTCTTGTAATCTGGTTTTCCACAGGAATAAATACAACCCACTGGGAAAGAAACTCTCCATCTGAAAAACAGCTCAGGTGAGTAATCCCACTACACCCTGAAGATACCTTAGCTTCCAAAAATATACTCACATTACCTATTCTGAACGCACCACGGAACTGAGCCAGTCCGTAGGCTCCTTAATAAAAGAACTAGTAAGTTCCATGCAGTTTTTGACAAAGTGCAGTGAGGAGACAAGAGCCAAAAGCAGCGACGGACAGGTCCGATGAGACCAGTTTTGAGTTGGCCAAACAGCTTGCAACACCTTTTCAGAATTCTCGCGATACAAACAGGGTTAAGCTGGAAAGAGCACTGAATTTAAAGAACGTCAATGTGAACTACACAGGTTATTTGTTTCTGCAGATGGAGGTGGACTTTTTTTCCCCTTGCTATGTCGTGATCAAGCTGCATGCTATACTGCTGCAAGTGCAGAAAAAGAACAGGTTTGTCCTCTTAATATTGCCTGCCCTGGTATTGCATAGTATCTCCTTCATTTATGGTGCCTGCTCAAGTCTTTTCTCACGCTGCTAAAATACCCACAAAGCATTTTAAAAGCCAGGTTCTCAGGATGTTTGAGAGAGAACTTTCAGACTGAACTTGGACCAGTGACTTCTCGGGGCACGCAGCCCTGAAGTCTACAACGCACACTACAAAACCTAAAGACACACAGCACCTACCCTCTTCTATTTCCAAAACCTTAAATGGTTTTCTAGCGCATCTTGCCCCACTTCAGTAAGATCTCCCCCACAATTGGTTACTTGGAGGAATTTAAGTTTTGGGAATGAGGGAGACAATATGCTATTTCTTTATTTTATTAAGTTATTCATAGGGTTCTGACCAAGGCAACAGATACTGGAATCTGGAGGATGTTCTATCTTAAGAGGAGGAACTCACATTAACGAACTCTTCACCACGTCTCTCCTCTCGTAATCATTGAATTTGGGTTTTTAATGTGTGTATTTAATCCAGTACAACAAATGTCACTAACCTGTATGGAACATAAAGCACTTGGAAAGGCGGGTAGTTTACAGGAATTAGTTATTTCTATTGAGAGGGATTTAAAATACACGTACAAAAATAGGTTCTTACTCTCGTAACCAGTTCATATATGAAGCTCCTTTTGCAGCTTTCCAGTCAGCATCCACCTAACTAAAGTAAGTTAGCACAATCATTTGTATGGGCTGTCTGCACACCGGGCAGGGTTTGTTCCTCTTCTTAAGTTTTCTGGCGCAGGTGAAACACGACATGAGGTGTCCTGTCTTGCCATGCACTATGCAGCCATTTTTAGGTCTGCTCTGACAGATGACGCAGGGCTCTATGCTGGTAACGGGCAGGCCGGATTCCACGCTTTCCTCTTTGTCTTGCATTTCTCTCTTCTCCAGTTCCTTATAGTCCTCCTGACTGCTGCAAAACACGCTGCTCGACGTCGAGGGCTGAGAATAGTCTTCACTTTCCTGGGACTCGGAAATTTGTACTGCTTTGTCCTCATTCTCCTCTACAGCTGGTTCTTTATCTTCAGTCATTTTCACTTTCTTGCAGTCAGGAACATCAAAACCTTCTTCAGACTCTAGGGGGAAGGAACTTTCTAGCTTGCTCTTTACCAGTTTATCACTCTTTTCATCCGGAAGCCAGTCCTCACGAAGGGCCCAGCATCGGTGGCAGTGCCGCGGAAGCGGAGGATTCATTTCGCTACATTCAGGACACTTCCAATAATCCTTTAGTGAATTAAAGGTTAGAACAGCTTAAGCTACTTGGAATGCTTACAACTGAAGTATTCAGAGATTATAAACAATTTATTACTGCCAAAAAATAATTATCTTGAGCTACTGACTTGTTTATAATTTAAAAATTCCATTCAGTGTTTAGCCTCATTTTACGGTTCTAGATTAACACAGTCTTGCTTTTAAAAAGACTCTGATCTTCCTTCTTTCTGCAGTAGATTTGTGAAATAAAAATCGAGGTAGAACAATAATGATTTACTATTTCTTATACAAAGCTGAAGAAACCAGACCACAAAAGTCCTCAGAGAACCTCATGAAAAACTTCTTTCTAATTATGGTTATTATAAACCATTCTGTCACCATTCCCATTATTTTCAACAACAGCCTTCTGAAACGGAAGGGACATTTCCCCGGGAGGACGCTACGCTGCTGGGACGCGACACGGCCGGGTGAGGGCACTCTGGCACAGCGAGCTGTTACAGAGCAGACAACATCGGCCGTTTCATTTAAAACAAAACAAAACCAAAGACTGCATCTCCGTCTCAGAGGTTACCCCACACGCCACACTGAAAATAAGCCACTATCTCATCAAAATTACACTTAGTTTTTAAGAAGAAAGACCCCTCTTAGAAATAACGCAGCCACTGGAGGACTAAAACCAAAAACCAACCCAAAACTTCATTTAGTAATACTCAAAGCGCTTTTTTTGTTTGAATCCTGAATAACATCAGTGACATCAAAAGCTTAGGAGACAAATTTTAATTCCTAAAAAACTGTAGTACAGACGTCTCTTCCCAGACATAAGCAGTGCTCTGTTTTCAGATGCTGCCTAGCCCCGTGTTTTACACACTTGGTAAGGTCCCTCTGTCCCACAGACCGTCAAGGGACCGCAAGATTTCAGACAGTTTTGGACAACAGCTTTGTTCAAGCTTCAACTGTGAAAAGCAAGTATAAATAAAAAGATACACTGCTTTTTAATTATGGGGTGTGGTTTTTTCACATATGTCTACATACTTTGCCTCAGACCCCTGAATTTATTCCCACACCTCAAGAATGGTCTCACAGAATTTCGAAAAAGCCTCAAAATATATTAATTTTACAGTGCTGTTGTGAAAACAGGTTTGCCTTCACATCTGTATGTTACAGATTACTTTAATCAGGTTGGACAATAAAACCAGGTATTATGATTTATATGAAGAGATTTTTAAGTATACATGACTAAGGTTTGGTGGGATTTTTTTTGCATTTTGTGCAAAAAGTCAGATTTAGGCTCCAAATAACTTCCTTCCACTAAGGCAGTGAAACTGTAACTTTGTATTTTTTTTAATGTATTAGGAAGCTTACTAATTTTTACATATTTTTTTAAATATCAAGGTTCCTTAATAGCCACACCTTCAGTAATTAAAATATTGTCTCAGAATCTTCAAGCATACAAAAAAAAGTCAATTAAAAAAAAAAAATCAAAAACAAACAGATCACTGGTAACAACAGAATTAATCTCTATTCCTTGGTCTACTCTGTCAGTTCACCCAATTTATGATACTTTGCCGGTCAAGTTTTACTCACAGCTAGAGAAATCTCTGGATCTTCATCAAATGAATCAGCATCACTGTCTTCATCCTGGTAAATAGTCAGCTGATACACCTGGTTTAAAATAAAAAGAAAGTATTGATGTAACCGGTTTTTGGCAATCAATTAAAAATCTGATAGACTGGGAATCTGGCAGACTTTCTGATAAGACTTGAACAAATGTAATAAGTAGTGCATATACGTTAATTTATGTCAGCAACCAACTCCACAAACTCTGATGACTGGTTTTGGGGAAAAGAATTCTGTTCTCACTTGGAACACGCAGCCTGAAGAACAACGTAGACTACACAGACAGCAGGCGCCGCTTTCTGGAACAGAGGCGACCCTTCCCCTCCGCTCAGTGCTGGTGAGGCCACACCTGGACCGCTGTGTCCAGCTCTGCGAGATACGGAGCTACTGGAGAGAGTCCAGCGGAGTGCCACCAGGATTAGGAGACTGGAAGAGCTCTCGCATAAGGAAAGGCTGAGAGAGCAGGGACTGTTCAGCCTTGAGAAGAGAAAGCTCATGGGGGATCTTATCAATTTATATAAATACCTGAAGGGGGGGGCGTAAAGCAGACAGAGCCAGGCTCTTTCACTGGTGTCCAGTGACACGACAAGAGGCAACCGGCACAAATTAAAACACAGCAGGTTCTGTCTGAACATCAGGTGACACTTTTTTACTGTGATGGTGACCGAGCACTGGCACTGTGGAGTCTCCATCCTTGGAGATGTTCAAAAGTCGTTGTGTGGACGCAGCCCTGGGCAACCAGCTCTGCTTGAGCCTGGGTAGAGGGGCGGGGGGGCTGGAATTCTCAACTCTGCTGCTGGGGGCAGGGGCATATCTCCGTATCCTGATCCCCTCTTCCTCCAAATCACCGTCTTACCTCAAGGCACAGCTCCTCAGGGCACAGCTCCACAGCACTGTAACCCCGTGTACACCAGTATACTCAGTCCCACACAGCCCTTCAAGTACCACAACCATGCACATCCCTGGCAAATTCTGCCTGTGGTACTTCACCAATCTTGCCACGAGCTGATTCACCTCTTTGAAGTAACAGAAAACCAACCCAGAGAAAAAATAATATCCCACTTCATTCCTGACATTCCAGATATCTAGAACTCTTGAAAATGATGGTAATCACAACTTTACTGTCCTCTTGCCTCCTAGTGAAAATTTCTAAAATTGCATTTTAGCATCTCTATGAAACATTTATATTCATGAAGGCAAATGATTCAGATATATCCCTTTGCAAAGAATTACCATGTAAGTTTTCATTCACTATTAAGAGTGTTGTCAAAGCTCAACACATACTTCTGTAATTAAAAATGTAGGAGTAGACTCAAGTAGACATGCTGTCAGACTCCAACAGCTACTGTGTGAAGTTAAACAGACTTTTGCAGACTGCTGAGAGGCTGTTTCAGAGCCCACAGGAAGCCTTAGCACCGTTACGGTTACTGCCTGCTGGGTGTGTACTGGTGACCCAACTGCACAGGCATGTCATTCCATTTAGTTAACAACTGGGTGCGGTTTGTCACATAGCACACGCAGTCCTGAAATAAACCTGAAGAGTTACTTCTTCTTGTTGGAATCTCAACATGAAGTATTCCTGTAGGTTTCCTTCCCCCTTTCACTGTCCCCAATCAAAAAAAAAAAAACCAAACAACAAAACAAACGAAACAAATATCTACCTCATCATCTTCATCTGTGAGCTCCTGCCCTTCTTCATTATGGCTATAATCTTCTGAATAAATAGACTCAACTTCAAACTCTACACTGAACTGGTCTGAAACAGAACTGTGGTCAAACCAATCTGAGTTTTCGCTTAATGAACTGGCATCGAGATCCTGTAAAAAACAGAAAGAAATTCAATATCACTACTCCTCATCCATACCCATTACTGTTAAGATAGCTTGTAAGACAGAACCAAACTACTTGATTTAATTAGCTATGGAAGAAATGAGATCAGCTGCTATTAGACAGAACATCTTTTACAAGACAAACAAATTATAGGTAGGTAAAAATAAGGTTACATCTGAAAGCCTTTTGTCAGCTCTGTAAAAAGAGGCTGTAGGTTGACTGCAGCTCTTCTACAAAGGCTCTCCTAAAAGGTGAAAGAAGAGATGCAAGAAGTTGCTGTCTTTTGGCTGCATGTCATCACATTCTCTATTCTCACAAACTTGGTTAACCTTAATTTGAGACAGTGGCTAAACAACTATCTTCACTCTTGCTATTTTATACAGTATTAGTGCTGTCAATTCAGAATACAGCACATAACTGTTAGTCTAGGCCTTCATGACTTAACCTAATGACAGATAATTTGCTTCAGTGTTCGCTGAAAGCAACAATAAAAAACGAATACACGAATACAGCGTATCACCAGGGCACGACTCCGGAAAGTTACCGAAGCTGTACTGCAACTATCAGACGCCCAGAAGTACCAACTATTCTGAATTATGGAATGTCTCTGACTGTTTTTCTTCCCTTAGCTTTCTAAGAAATGCTTGTTTTAAAACACAAAATACATCTGGTATTTTTTCAATACTGTCCCAAGCAGTAAGAATCTGTTTTTTACAGAATATTCAGAGATAGCACTTTAAAAAAATTCACTTCAGCTTGTCAGCAGATCTATGAAAGACACCACTCCACCCACACACCAACTTTACTCTCAGCCCCTTTTCTCTTCTCAGACACCACTGCAGGCACTGCTGCCCTTAACTAAGCACATGACATTTTAAGATGTACATCGGTACTTGTGGTATCTGCAAAAATCTGTACCCCCAAAATACATATTTTGACTTACAGGAATGGAAAGAGAATCTGTCGAATCGCTGCTATTGCTTCTTTCACGGCACAGACCACTGACTACACACCATGAGAGACTTTCATCAAACGTCAACGAAATGCTGTCAGACTTGTGTCGTTTTCTTCTGTCGCTATGCAGATCATCTGAAGAATTTTCTTCTGGGCACATTCAAATATTTTTATTACTCCAAAAACATCTATACAATGTTCAGTTTTGAATATTCTTAACAGAAGTTTAAAACATAATTTACTTATATGAGAATTTTAGAACAAATAATTATTTTACAAGGGAAAAAAGTAAAGGCACCAAAAACTTACTTAAAAAAGACACAGTAACACTGAGAAATACGGAAAGTGTGAAACATTCCCGAAACCAGTATTTCAGGGGCTGTCTTTCCCCACTTATCCCATCAGTACAGCTTGTAAATGGCAGTCTCCACATGCAGGAAAATTCCAAATTTGGAAGCGGAAGCATTTTTACTCCACACATGACACACTAAATCCTTTCTAGTTTTAAGGAATATAGTTGGGACCTTAATTGTCCTAGCTCCCTCTACAGTCAGTAGACAGAAAGACACTTTCAGAGGGCTGCTCAGTCCATCCCAGAATTTGCAGGGACACAGAGCAACCAGCCCCCATGTCACATCAGTGCAAGGACCTCATGCTAGGCAAGATTCAGGTTCAAGTTTCAGATACCTCAACAAATTTATCGGTTAATAGTTGCACTATATGTAACTATTTACTTCGCAGGATTTTTGCAACAAACCGTTGTGACTTCCAGCACACACTAGCCAGAAAATCTTAAAAAGGCATACCATGTGAAAATCAGCTCTGAAAGCACTTCTTTAAGCTGTGCTTATTAAATACGCTTGGTTTGAAGGCAAAAAGACAATGCTTTTTAAATACATGATGTTTTGAAACAACCACCTACAGTGGCATAAAGAGTAGGGTGATAGCTTTTTAGGGGTAGGCAAGTCAAAATTCAGCTCCACTGACTTTTAGAGTGTTTGGTAAGAAATTATTTTATTAAAAAAGAGGTCGCAAAGTCAGTATGTTAAGCACAGCGGAGTGACAACTGCCCAAGAGGCCTGACAACTTGGTTCAACAGACCTCAGAACGAGCCTGCTGCCCCCCTACAGGTGCCTTCTGCACCCACCCGCTATTGCCCAGCTTCTCCCTTGCCTTGCAAAACACACCCTGACAATCCACAAGTCTTCAAGTCTTGAATCTTTCATTGTATAAGAAAAGAGAACAAAACACTTGTACATACTTTGAGACTTCTCTTACTTTCCCTTGGTGCTTCTTGGCTCAGCCCCTCTCTTTTCTTTTTCCGCCCTGAGAGCCCCACCAAATTTGGTGCCCCCAGGCCCAAGGGTTGCTCCTGTCCATCGTTGTCCTCATTTAGTTGTCATGGCTCCATGCTGTACTGATACTGTTATCACCACAAGGTTTCTATACACTATATGAGCGGCTCCAAAGGGGCCGCTCCCATCCCAATTTAACAAGAATAGTGGTTTAAAAGGAAGATTTCCTATAAATTAGAAAAAAAGTGTATATAAAAACACTATATTAAAAGAACATTTAAGGTTGTAACAAACTAATAAACAGATGCAAAGACAACAGTTAATAATCAAACCTACAATAAGTAAGCACAACACAGGACCTTATGTGTTCTGGGTCATGCCTAAATATTACAGGTTATGATGCTTAACTGAGACTTTCCATCCTTTCATCAGTTTTTGTTACAACATTAAAACGTTCTTTTAATTTAGTGCAAACCGCTCAGCAACACAGCACAGTTTTTGGACTGACTAATATAACAGTGGCCTACGATGAACACAAAAAAAAAAAATACTACACAAAAGCTGAGGAACTGAAAACCATTCCAGAGCAACTGACAAAAAGAAGTTCTATGCAGCGACAGAAGGCTATCGCTGCCCAGGTAATTACAACCACCAAGTCATGAGGTGACAGAAGCGAGTGATGGAACAAACTAATGTAAGCAATTCCACAGAACAGTATTTAAGCAGAACTGTAGAGAACACTTCCATTGAGAAACTTATTCAGCTTTATGCCAACCAGCTTGTTATTCGTCAATTACTGGAAGAAACATTCCACATTTTGAAAACATATTTGCCAGTGATTACTGAATAACCACAAAGAGAAAGAGGAGACAAATGTGATCCTTAAATCACCAGATATTTTAAATAGAGCTTCATGAATGGTCAGGTACCTAAACACACCCAAAATCATCCCATAGTACTACCAGACCTTTGATGTCTGCCACCAACTGAAATCCAATGAAAACTGGTTTCACAGATCAAACAACGTGTAAAATTTTGTGGCTGTCTACAGAGGGAACTGAAATGAATTTGACTACATCAGTCTGTTATAAACAAAAGTGTTCTCATCATGAAGATAGCGCAACTGATTAAGTCCTGCTGATGTGAACAAGTTTAACAGATCTGTGGAGCAAGTTATTCCATCACCTTACTAACAGTTCTAGAGACCCAAACTGCAACATGACACTGGAGCAATGCAAGTAATCGTGTCTTTCTTCCAGATGGAACATTTTGGTTTAGACAAGCAGAGAAACATGAATAGTATTTGTCAGCACCTTTCAAAGTCAGTAAGGCAACAGAATGTACTTTTTTTTCCTTCCTAAGTGGCCACACTACTGAAAACTCTGCATCATAAATCTGCACATACCAGATTCACTGTGTGTTCTCCTCCTAGAGGATGCAGTTGGTCGGGAAGTCACATTTGATGAAGCCTGCTTCTCTTCTAACTCTTGCATAGATTCCTGGTTAAAAGAAACACTGAGTAAGTCTGAGCATGAATATGAGGTAAAAGGCTAGAATCAACTATTCGCACCTAAACCATTGACACTATCATGCAAAACTGAATCAAATTCACATCTCGGAACATTTATTTAAAAAAAAAAATAAAAAAAAAATCAAAAAATCACCTTAAGAACATTTTCTTCTTCAAGCTGAAATCTGGCATCCTCCTCAGGTGTGTCAGCAACCCCGGAGTCTGAAACCAAACCAGAACAAAAACCGTAATACAGCACAGCAAAAGTCATCAATTTCAGGCTCAAAAACATCAGTGGAACAAAGCAAGGGAGGGAAGTTAACTGCACACAGCATTTACAAAGTAACTTCTAAACAGAACTTCAAAGCCAGACATTTTACAACAACAGAAAAAACAACCCCATCCCTTTGCTGTTCAGGTGTGTGCAACACTTTCCCTGATGCATTAGTGAAGTGGGGAAGAAGAAGAAATGTCGGTAACAAAGTAGCTCAGAATTTTATTATAAATGCCTTCAAATGAAGGCTGTGCATTAGCTGGGATTCTGCAGATATGAAAGAATACAGGCAGTAAATATTTTACACTTCTTCCTCTCTAAAGTATATTTTACCAGCTATCATCTTGTTTCACAAACAGAGTTCGTTACCCAGTCAAGAGACTACAATCTTACGGGAACACCAAATTAAAAAGACAATAAACAGAAGAAAAAAATAACTTGTGAATTATATAGGTTTACTACCAGACAGACCCTGAATTAATAAATTATCTTTCAATAAAAGAATTTGAGATCCTTTAAGTTTTCAAGCATAACAATAAGGGACAATAAAAGAGAGCAAGTTCCCCATCTTCAGCAGATGAACATTTGCCTTCAGAAAAAAATCAGAAACAAAGGACATCTTAATACGGATTCAGCAGTCAATTTACAAAACGGCTTCCATTGTTTAACTCATCCTTTTATTAGTCAAAAATTACAGCTATATTGAGCAATTTTACATTGCAGGAAAGGTGACTGTATGTAACAATTCTCCATTTATGGAATGGCTATCCACAAAGTTATCACAAAGCTACTTTTTTAAGTACGCTGACCTTTTAAAAGAGGACTCAGCGTAGCTGAGGGTGACCAGTTCTAAATGTACACCGCATTCAGTTTTGAAAATTAAAACAGAACACTAATAGAAAGAATAAAAAGCATTTGCCCTGACTTCACTGCTGGTAAGTTCAAGAAGCTGATTTTTGATATTAAAACTTTATGTTGTTGAGAGCTTTATCTATAAGAAAAACAAGCAAATGACTACTTTTTAAATTTAGCCCTATTTGTGGGCTCCGATTGTGCTTGTTCTGGTTCCAGTCTGACAAAATTACCCAAATGCTGTTCAGATTTTTTTTCTCCCCCAAAACACAGAGTGTTTGCTCTGATTTACTATTTGTGATCACTCTGGACGGTAGTGTGTAAAGCCAAATAGCTAATTATGGAGAGATCGATGTTATCTGATCACTACATGCAAGATGCATTCACGTAAGTTCTCTTTCTCCTATTACTATATCCCAAAAGAAAAGGTCCTCCCAAACTAGCTTACCTTGTTGATTGATTGCTATCAGATTTCTGGAAATCATTGAATATAGTCTCCTTCGATGGGGATAAAGAAAGAGATGTTGCAAGTTAGCTACATGTAATTATAAAACAGAGCTTACCAACTCTGAAGATGCAAAGGGTTTAAAAAGGCCATACGCATTATGTTCTCCATTATTCCACAACCAGACTCTCAGAAAAGAATCCTGTTTTACCTGTGTTCTTTTACTGAAAAGCTTGCTACTCCAAATAAATCCCCCAGGAGATCATTTGCACAGTGTACAATATGTTGCTGTTTTTCATCATACAATTGTTTAGACATAATATATTGTCCAAGATAGAATATTACCTGTAAAATAAATGACATACAGAGATATTAAATACCAAGGATCTGTTGTTTCAAGTTTCAGAGAAAACACATTAAACTCACTGAGATTTGCTCTTCTCACTTTGCTTGCCTAAAACTCTTTGAGCTGTGATTTTTACCTATCAGTCCCAGAGTACCCTGCTGTTCTACTGACCACCAGATAATTTTGTTCAGATTTTGAGAAACTTGCTGAACACCACCTAACAAGGCAGCAGGAGAATAAAAACAATACCTTGTCTCAGTATCTTCCAGGTAAGCTGTGAACTACACTGCCCCCCAGTCCACCCAAAACAAAAGAACAATCTATCTGTATTCACTGTAATCTACCTTTAATGATTAAAAGCTCTCACCTCCTTCATAGTAAAAGTGTCCTTTTCTGCACCAGCTAACTTTAACAACTTCAGCAACAGTGGCTTTGGTTTAACCTGTGTGGTGAAGAAGAAAAACAGCATGCACCAATCATGCACCAAACAAAACACTATTTATACAGGTTGGCTTCCTCCTCCTGCGTTAAATCTGATATACAAACACACAGCTACATTAAAACCTATCCACATCAAATTTTTTTACTTTGCAAAGTTAAACTTTAAAGAAAATAACACAAACCAAACCATACTAAACTCAACATAAACTGCATACATACTAAACATACATAAACTGCACAGCTTCGCTAAACCCCCAGTCTTTGATCGGTACATACAGATTCCTCGATTTGAGCTGCAGGGCTCATTTGGAAGTTCCAAGTACAAGGCTGGGTCCTGGGGAACTCAGCTTCACTCCTTTAGTCGCTACAGTGACTCCCAAAGGGGAGGGACGAAGGCAAACAGACCTTTGTGACTGTCTGTCAGGTCCAGAGTGCAAGTTACAGAGCAGAACGCTGATCTGCCTCTTTACCTGTCTCTTCCCGTGACAGTTTCTCGCGGCGCAATTTTAACGCCCCTGTGCCAGCAGTCATACCTGCAGCCAGTCTACGACAATTTCTGAGGTAGAGAAGGCAAAAGTTAAAAACCAACCAACAAACAAACCACGTTCCTCCCTTTTTTTTTTTTTTCTTTTCCCCCCTTCCGGCCAGAGCAGTGTCCTGCTTCCATTCACTGCACTGCTCCACAAACAGCTGTGCCAGTACCAGCACAGGAGATGGGAACAAGCTGCAGGGGCTGCCACAACTGCAAAGGAAACGCCTGTGGAGCCACTGACGATTCCCAGCACAGTGAATTCTAGTATTGCCGCTTTAACAATAGCATAACCATTCTAAGAACAGGCTAACATTCAGCTATCCTAATATATTACCTAAAATAAGAAAAAATATTACAGAAGCGAAACATTTTGTGGGAAAGTGGGAATAAAATATCATCAGACGAGGAATAAACGCTTAATGGGAGGGAGGGGGGAGCTTCCCTACATTCCAAGTATCTGCTAAAACCAACGTTAAGTTCTAGTGCATTATCAAGAGATTAGTTGCAAGAATCACATGTAATGAAAATAATAAACAAGCTTGTGGACAACTTGGATGTCTATCCACCCCTTCCTAAGGGCTGAATTATTTAGAGCATGCGGTACACATTACAGTTTCACAAAGGAAGCAAACAGTAACTTCTTAAACTACTAAGGACAGCTAAGCATAGGAAGGCAAACACACAGTTTCACATCTCTGAATCCACAACTAGACCCATGGGTTCAGATCCTTTTACTCCCCCGCCCTCTCTCCCTGACTCCTGCAAGTATGAAGTTCTTCTGCCACGCAGATCTGACAGCAGACGGTAGCGTCACATTACAATGACTTAAAAAAGGAAGAAGAAACGAACAAAAATCAACTTTGAACAGTCTGCTGTTACTTCACTTCTTCTGAAGTTCTGCCATCAGTCGACACTTTTAAGCACTACCCTTCTACAAAAAGTAATCCAGTTCAACTGTCACTGCACACGCGTCATTTTTCACTCACATCTCGGGTACAACACACAGGCTTCCATCCTCAGGAAAACTATGCAGAAAAACAGGACAGCCTAACTGTCACTGTATCCTGGAAAGTCTGGATATGCACAGCCATAAACACAAACGAGGACGCTTACTACAACTTGCTTATGAATTCCAATAAAGGAGAAAGTGCTGAATTCAAAAGCTTTCAGTTGCAACGACAAGAGGATTTCACAGTGTACATTCTGCACAACAGAGATCTTCCACAACTCTTCAGATACGAACTGTTAACAATTTCCACCACAAAATACTTACCACGGTCAAATCGGACCTTAAGATTCTTTTCATGAAAAGAAAGCAACCTGACCACCAAAGGTCTCCAGGAAGCACGGTCTAGACCTAAACCATCATCCCCTCAACTCTCAACCACGAATGAGAAATGCTTTCTTCACAAGGACAGGATCAAAGCGAGCCCATCTTCACCGGATTTCCTGGCTTTTCTCCAGCCATCGCCACTCGCTGTGCAAAGCGGCCCTTCTGAATTAGCAAACAAAAACTCTGCAAAAAAAAAAACACCCCACGGAAAACTCGCACGTCCAGCAGAGCTACTGACCAGCGCCTCTTGCTCCGAAGCGGTGACAGGAGAGGCGTCCGTAAGGGAGGACATCTTGGTATTGCACATTTGCCTGCAACGAAGCGGAGAACAGCCTCAAAACGCGTACCGCAGCGACACAACCCGGGCTTCCCC